AGGCTGAGCGTCTTGCTCTTCCGGTGGCGGTAGTGCATCCTGGTCATCACACAGTTGGTTTGGTTTCAAGCTACCTTCTCGGATGGCATCGGCACGTTTGCGACAGGGAAACTCGATTCTCTCAGGAATAGAAACCTTTAACACCCTCAATACTGTGACGGATTGGTCAAAATCTGCATCATTGATTTGCTTTAGAGAAGCTACTGCAAATTCCTTTCTCCAATGGAAGCCTGGATGGATAACATATCCTAGGAAGATACCGGGTTCAGAGGTCGGTTCAAACTTCATCTGCTTCTTGGGTTTCTTCCGAGGTCCAGTCCAATAGTCCACCTTACATCCAAACGGGATAAGTGGTCCTTCGAAGTCTGTCCCAAATCTCAATTTCCATGGTGTGTCCTTTCCAGTTCCATCTGGTGCTGTGTCATGCATGATGCACCAATGTCTGGCAGCATAGGGCCAGTATCCATGGTGAAGTCCTGCTTGAAGCAAATTTGCCCGTGTTCCTTCCAACGTTGACCGCACGGCTCGTTCGGCGATGGCATTGGATGTTGAAATGTAATCCTTACTGATTTGATGCCTGATCTTCATTGCTCTCATAGCTGCTACAATCTCAGGGGCATTATCACTGTAAAAGATTCCAATTTTCTCCAAGTCATCAACGAAATGTTTCATCGCCAGTGTGGTGTTGGATGTATCACGACGTGCAACGGGGTAAACATATCGAAAATCAGTGGCAACATCCTTGAATACCATTGCGACCCTGTCTCCGTCTACACCAGTTTCGGGGTCTGATTTGGCAATGAGGTAGTCACCTGTGACATGGTCCCCAAACTTCTTTGCGTCAACCATGGATGATCCTCCCTTAGAGTATCCGGGTGGCTTGTACATCTTGGCCTTTGTACAGACGTCACAGTAGGGATTCTTAGGAATATGGGTAAGCATGTGTCGTTTGCTCTTAGCTTCAGCCTTGAGTGCGGCCTTACCCCTTTCCCTACGTCTTTCCATTTCCGGGTCACGACGGACGTCATCCCTTGATTCATCAACCTCATCAGGCTGGACCTCCCGGTCAGCTGGTGCAATGCCTTCTTCATCGGAGGGCGCATCGGCACCGGGATCGCCTGAGATGTCGGGTACAAGGTCATCAAGCTTTGATGAATTACCACCTACAACAGCGGGTTCGTCATCTTCATATTCTTCGTCGTAAAGGTCCGGTGATGGGGGAGAATCTTCCTCTTCTATGAAGCCTGACTCGGACCCAGAAGAACTAGCCATCACCTTCACTCTTTTCATGGGAGAACCATTGTTGCTGGATTTTGCCACTGTGGACACACTTGATTGACTTGATTTGGAACATAGGTATGGGACATAGTCTCTGACTTCAAGTTCTATGACTTTCCCATCAGGTGATACTAATTTCGGCTTCTCATTCTTGGAGCCCCTCCACACGAAGTCAAACCCATCCTCAACGCACCTGAGACCAACTGATAAAACAGGAGGTGAACTTTGCACTAGGTACGGTGACACTGTAGCATTCAGCTCTGGGACTCTTACCTTGCCCTGCTTCATAGATGAACTTTCCCCATTTGCAGTGATGAGACGGATTGGATTATCGGAAAAGTAACCATAGTGGTCTGGCACATGATGATCAGTGAGTAAATCTTGTGCACTACCGGTATCAACAATCCAATCAATAGAGGCTTCGAAACATCCATCAACGTACTCCTCAGATTTGGCAGGCATTGCAACAATTCCCTTTGGGATACAGTGATCACATCCAAACATGGTGTCACATTCATAGTTGCATTTGCAGACATTGTTCATTAACGAATTCTTGACTGCTCCTGCCAACATGTTCGCTGACAAACATGCGTCCTCTACGTCTCTTCGATCGAACTCAAATGGATAGTCGATTGGGAATGTTCTTTTGTATCTTCTTGAAGCTGGATTAACAGGCACAAGGTCCCCCTTGGCAACGACTTGATACACATCATGATTGGTGTTGAAAGTCACTGCTGGGCAACCGATCACGTCAATGGGCGGCAACAGGCATGCATTGGACACGGATGCTAACATCGAGGCAATCAGGCAGACAGCTGCTGGGGAAGCTTTGGGAGTTTCAGGCTTGCCTTTATTCCCCTTTGGGGAGCGGCTATTCCTGGGACTCCTTGATCCCTTCTGCTTTGGCGAGCGGTCCCTGCCTTTTCCTGGACTTCTGCTGTTCCTCCGTCTGGATCCTTTCGAGTCATTGGATGAAGGCCTAGCAGGAGTGGCAGCACGAGGAGACTTGGATTGTTTGCCCTCGTGACTAAACCTACAGTCATTGCCTCTGTTACATCTTCCCTGTTTCCAAAACTTGCATGGCTGCTTCTTCTTGTTTTTATCGTTCTTACCCCTTGACGGTGATCTGCCACGATCGGATGAGGGTCTTGATTGACTTCTATCTTTCTTTGGTGGAGGCTTTTCATGCTTGAATGTGCAGGCATCATTCGTGCAGGTACCTTTGTTCCATTTGACACAGTACCCCTTTGGAATGTACCCAGTCTTCTCACCCACAGCCGGAGCTGCGCTGGACGACGAGGCACCGAGGGTCCTGGCAACTCGTTCACGATTGGACTCGAGTCGCTCCCTGTCCAAGTAGCGGCGGACTGCTGTCACTAGGAAATCATAGGACTTCTTGTCGGTCCCTTCCTCAGCACGATGATATTCCTGCAAGTCGTGTGCTATTGCTTTACTGGTTTTGACTTGGTTAAAGAACAGAGTCTCCAGAATGCTAATCTCAGGAATCTTGGGGATACCAGCCATTACTTGATCCCAATTGCTGATGAACCCACGCAGGTTGTCACCCTTGAGTTTGACACTGAACAAGTCCTGTAGTGAGTAGGTCGCTCCATGTTTGATGTTGGTACTGAAATGTTCATGCATCATAAACAGCACCTGTCGACCTCTCACATAACGATGGTTTGTTGCTTCAGTCTCCTTATAGGTGTCAACCTTTCTCGCAAAATCACCTGTGAGAATATTGGTGAGCGCGGAAAGCAATTTGGCATCCAATGTAGTGAACTTGCCTACGTCACGAAGAGTTCCAATTGTTTGGCCTTCTTTCCAGGTTTCACTTATCCAATCAAATGCTTTGTCAGGGTCAGTTGAAGCCGACATTACAGCTTCCCTAGTACGGATTCTCCAGTTTCTGTATGACTCCGCATGGGGAAAGGCTGGTACTTTCACAGTATCGGCTTCTTTGACCTTGTTCTTTTCATGTGATTGGTCCCTGGAACTACCAAACATGGCTCTCATGCGACGGATGAAACGGTGGTCACTATCATCAGAGTTGTACCCATCCCCGTCTCCATCATCGTCATCTCCGTCCCCAGGCCCACCTCCCGGTGGGCGTCGGCTCCCCGAAGGGGGCTTCTTCCCACGCTTGTCTTTACCACGCCTGCTGTCACGATCCGCCTCTGAGTCCTTGTCATCATCTGGAGGGTCAGGTCCTGGTGGTTTCCCCCCCGTGTCCGATTGTGCAACACTTGTTGGTGGATACGTTGGGGACCTAAGACCTGTAATCTCTGTGACAGGGTCATTATAATCCACTGGTACATTTCCGTCCGTGTCAAGCATCTTTCATATGTCTTGGTTGGGATCCGCTGGTTTGGGGGCACTTGCTGATGCAAATGACGGCAACGGTGCAGAATACTTGACCTCAGTGGATGGCGGTATGACGGCAGTGGCAGTCTGGACAACTGGAATTGGCATTGGGCCTATTGTGTCAAGGAGTTTACTCATCCTCATATTCATGGATTCGGTTTGCAACTGTTGGGCCCTTATTTGCTCACTCTGTTGCTTAATGATGGTTTCAAGTTGGGACATCTGCATTCTGCGGTGTTCATCTTGGCGTTCATAGTGATCCCTGAGAGATTGGATTTGCTGGTCCTTTGTTGCATTCGATTGTCTGGCATTTCCGTCTAAAACCCTTTTGTATACTTCCCCCTGTTGTGCGAGCTCTTCACGAAATTGATTCTCCCGACCCTCTGCGAGCATCATCATCTGATGCATCCGGGCGCTCGCAGCTTCTTCCTCTGCATGGAACCTACCACTCATTTCACACATCATCGCTTGCATCATGCTTTCAGTGTTGGCCAGAGCCTCACGATGACGTGCCTCAGCGACCTGCTCTACCATCTGTGTAATTGCGGGGTCATGCGAATTCACGTACACCTCGTTGTTTTGTACCTGTCGTAAGTTCATGGTGTTATTCACTTCAGTCATCTCATGATGGTGCACCTCGACAGTGTTGGATTGTACATGACGTGAGCCGGCAGGCATGCCCTCCCGGGATGCGTGGAAGTCGTATCCTCGGTGTGAAAACCTCTGCGCTCCAGTTTGGGGCACGACGGCGCCTGGTGGAAGCGGGACACGGACCTCACGCTTATCACTGCGGGAGCGTTCTGAGGGAGTCTGGGAATTCGTGTTGATGGGATTGTCACTTACAGTTTTGTTGTCGTCTGCGTCCTCGATTGCCATGGCTTGTGAAACTCCGGATGGGCGAGTTCCTCCCGGTGATGGTTTACCAGGAGGGGCAGACATACTAGTGACAAAAAGAAGTATCTGGCGATACGGCTGATAACCTATATTTATAGGCAACACAGCCACCAACAGCCAGAAAACAAAGCACACTGTTTTTCCTCTTGAGCCATGAAGTCCATACAATGTACAATTACTACAGGGCACACTTTACAGGGGAGTGAGAACAGTATGGATTACTATCCCGTAAAAATATAATCCATCCCCAAGGATTGACCATAAATTTCCTTGTGCACACCATTCCCAAATGATAGGTTTCTTATTAGGTTTACCATGTTGTATTATATATATATACACATATGTGTGTATATATACAAACATTTGTATACACACACACATATATATATATAAATACATATACATTAATTTTAATATACATACAAACCACATCAAACCACCACCAACCCACTGGGCTTCGGCTCCTCCAACCCCTCCTCAAAGCGTCTCCGAGTGCAGAGCCGAAAGCAAAGCCCCGGCCGGGTGCGCCCGGCACGGCCCTCAGCCGAAACGGGAAGGGATTCATGGTGGACCTTAGATTCAGATACCCTGCATTTGTTCTTGGGGAATCATAACAACCGCGCAAAAAAAAGTGAAGTCCTACTAAAACCCCAAGGTTTTTTTTGGAGGAATCTCCAAAGCACCAAGGTTTCTCCAATCTTGTGGTGTTCCAGGTTCTTTTGCAAAAACCCTAGTTAGTCCTAGTTGGCCATGAAAGGCCATTGAATCCCATCAAATTCCATGAAATTGAATGAAATCCCATGAAGTCCTGTTGAGGCCCATGAAATCTCATGAACTCATCTCATCATGGGGGTCTTCATCATCCCAGCGACCTTCCTTTGCTCCAGGTTATGTCGACCAGTAAAGACCACATCGTGGTACCTGGGAAATGTGACGGGGTGGAACTGGGACCCCAACCACAGGAAATTTTGATGCTACGCTAATCCCACCCCCCAAATATTCAACATCCCCATTCTATGGTCCAAAAAAAACGTAAATCCCCCTACTAAACCATGGTTTCTAAGGAGTGTTTAGTACTAGGTGGAAGGGATTACTTGGGTTCTTTGGGACTGGTCAAGGTGTAAAATGACCTGCATGGTCAACAGATGACTTGGGGGGTCCCCAAGGTACAAAAACACCGAAATCAATGAGTTTGTCTGAAAATATGTTACCCAAAAAATTAATGCCTTATTACCATTTTCCTTATCAAAATTGCAATCTTGGGGGTATACCCCATTGGCAGACACACCCAAATATCAGATATTATCATATTTTGATTATGTATGTATGTATGCATATATATATATATATATATCCAATTTAAATCCCATTACTATGTTGTATTCTGGGTGAGTTCCATCTCGACGCTTGCGGCGCACGACAAACGAGTGGTCTCTGTGAAGAAAGTAAGTTTGACCTCCAATGGTGACTGATGGGAAGATTATCAACGCATGGTGGTTTGGGATTTAGCCAACAACTATGGATTCCAATGGCAATTTGTTTTGGGTTTTAACCATCAAGTATTATGGGGAATTCAATGGGATGCAAGACCAGCACAAATGATGATCAATGGATTGGTGTTTGAGCCACCCCCTCTGACAAGTACGAGTCAAATTGTGGATGACCATCCGAAGGCCGAAAGAAAACAAACATCGACTTCAAACCAACCACTTGGCTGTTTTACATTCATAGGGTGAAGATACGCATGCCTTGTCCCATGGGAGGAGTCATCAGGAAATCCCGATGCACATCCTTGAAAACTCGCATGGACTCACAAGAAAAGGGGCACGCCTAGTTTCTGACGTGAATCATATATAGGACATGTTCCCTCCAAACACCATGGTCGCTCATGCCCAAATAACACACCCAGACTACGTATAGTATTTTATGCGTGTCAGAAAACATGGTCTACACGCGGCGATTCTGACTTAGGCTTTCAGGATTTAGGATTTTAGGGTTCAGAGTTTTAGGGTTTGTTTGCTGTGAACGGTCGACTTTTGCAGGGATTTGAGCATACAAGCATCAAAGGATGTTGATGCCGGATCCCCCACATGCAAACCTAGTGCTTGCAGCGGAATGCTCCAAACCACCACTGTTTCCACTGTTTCCACTGTTTCCCACAGTCGGGCTTGTTCATGTTGTGGAGCGAGGCCCTTTGACCCACGCAGCTATGCAAAGTCTCTGCAGTGGGCACCATTCGTTGATGGGCCAATGTGAACCTCCATGTCTTTGGGATTGGCAGGGATCGCAACGCTTTAGTAACTCGAGCTCAGCGATCCACTGGTCTGCAATCTGGAGCGTCGCTTCGTCCCAAGATACAGAAGCAAACGCGATGTGGCTTTGAATTGTATCCCCAACGCCTCGGCAAGTTGCCAGTGCCACTACATTCATGATTCGTCTCCTTCAAGAAAACCTTGAGGCAGCGGCGAAACCATGTCAACCGATTCAGGAAAGGGATTCAGTTCTGGTTCCAGGCACCTTCTTTTCCATGCTTCCAGCCAACGTTTTCCTGATTTGACGGGACCTGGACATCCCATTGACAGCATGTAGTCCACATAGAGGAGTACTAGATCAATACTAAAACAATTGTTGGATTCCTTTTTTGGGGGGGAAATTGCATTTTATATTATCGTTTCAAATTGTGGTATATAATTGAAAACCAGTACATACAAACAAGCTTGATGGTGGCTTTAAGTTTATTTAGGTGCAAAGAGGGGGGGAGGGGGGCCCCACGTTTATAAATCAGAGGTGAACATTATAGGTCGGAACTGACTGCCACAGATATGAACCATCAGTGAACACGTTATTCCCAAGCGGAGGGATGTGTGCTGGTACGCCCCAGGGATCTTAAGCCGGCTTTGGTGTGAAGGAGGGTGCTGAATCCAGCTACGCAAAGCCATGGCATCTGGAATGGGAGCCTGCAACCTGACAACATCAGGGGCTCACTGCGTGATCCGGGATTTGGTCTGGGACCACCACTGTTGAGTCGTAACTGGCTATGGCTATGATCCCAGGTGAGATCCATACTGAATGCGCCTTTGCAAGTGCAGTTAGAGCGCGGCCTGTCCGCTCGTATTCCAAAGACTGGCCCTCTTGCCAACCTGCCTCTCGACGGCATTCAGTGATGGACGGCTATTGCTGCTCGTGGTTTCAATCCTGAGCTGTCTGGAGCTGTGTGGTCACAGTCAAGCATGGCGGCTGTGCATTCAAGAGCATTGACATGGTACTTGCTTTGTGGATGCCCATAGAACACTGCTCCAGTGACCCGGCGGTTAGCAATGGATGTGGCAGCTGGTAACCAAAGTATGAGGCCCAGCCATCGGCAACCCCGGCGCACAGGCCGCATGATGCCAGAGCTGTGATCTATCTGCAGAAACTAGTGCGAAAGCAGGATCAACAGCCCAAGCGCGCGCTCGTGATGATGAGCGGTGACCGTTTGTGACGCCCTCCGTTCCATCCATGCTGCTTCCAGCAACTGACTTGGCGCTGCCGCAAAGCCTCTCCAGCCTGTGGCATGCATTAAAGAGTGTACAAGCCAAAAATGCTTGAGCCAAAATGGCAACAGAGGTGTTCGAAACCACCAACCACTCTGAAATCCCCATGTTGTGTTGCTAGACCCCCATAGTTCAAACTCCTATCAAGCTTGGATCCAAATATGTGTGTGTGTGCGCTATTAGAATTTATTTACCTCCGGTAGTCAAACGCGGCAAGTGAAAATCCACCATTTATAGATGATTTTCCCAGCTAGAAACCTCCACTTATAATGGTTTTCCCATTGCCACGTTTGACTACCGGAGGATAATCCCATATAATCCCTATAATATGTGACCACACAGTGACAACTTCAGCTCATCTTATCCAAATCTGCTGCACGCCCCAAGCCTTGCAGGAATCGATGACCTTGCTGCTGAAATCAAGCGTTTGGCGGGGGGTATCATTGATGGATGGATGGATGGATGGATGGATGGACGGACGGACGGACGGATGGATGGATGGATGGATAGTGTATACCTGTGTATATCAGTGTATAACATAGACCCGGGCAAGCCGGCGGCGGAAGTTTCCCAAGAATAAATGACCTATAGTTCAAGGCCAGCCTGTCCCGAGCGTGTCCTTCCCTCGACAAGCGGTTTTTTTTTCAGCGAGAGACGAAGCAAAGTCTTCACACTCCACACTTCACACTTCACTCTTCGCACTCCAAACTTCACACTTCTCACTTCTCACTGCTTCCTTCACACTCCAAACTTCACACTCCACACTTCACACTTCGCACTTCACAGTCCACACTTCTCACTTCTCACTGCTTCCTTCACACTCCAAACTTCACACTTCTCACTTCGCACTTCACACTCCACACTTCACACTCCACACTTCACACTCCAAACCTCACACTTCACACTTCTCACTTTGCACTTCACACTCCACACTTCACACTTCACACTTCTCACTTCGCACTTCACACTCCACATTTCACACTTCACACTTCACAGTCCACACTTCACACTTCTCACTGCTCACTGCTCACTGCTTCCTTCACACTCCAAACTTCACACTTCACACTCACTTCGCACTTCACATTCCACATTTCACACTTCACACTTCACAGTCCACACTTCACACTTCTTACTGCTCACTGCTTCCTTCACACTCCAAACTTCACACTCCACACTCCACACTTCACACTGCACTCTTTGCACTCCAAACTTCACACTCCACACTTCACAGTCCACACTTCACTTTCTAGTCATTTATTCTTGGGACACTAATGCCGTCACTTCTACTTCCCACTGTCATTACCTAAAAAGGGGCCAGTCCAAACAGTTACAATACTCATTGTCACTACAGTTACAGCCACAACGGTCATTGTCAAAGTAGTCTTTGTCATAGTATCTATGGTCACAGTAGTCATGATCAGAATAGTCACAGTCACAGTCACATCAGGTATGGTCACACTAATCAAAGTCACGGTGGTCATTTTATGGAGGTTATCAACATACAACCGCACGAACGATGGAATTACTTCACACTCCACACTTCACACTTGTCACTTCTCACTGCTTCCTTCACACTCCAAACTTAAACTTCACACTCCACACTTCACACTTCTCACTTCCCACTGCTTCCTTCACACTGCAAACTTCACACTGCACTCTTCACGCCCCACACTTCACTGCTCTAAACCTACGTGCAACGGCGTCGGAAAATTGTAGCTCCAAAACCGGATCTCGACGCCAGAGCGAAAAAAAGACGATTTTGAAGCACTTTTTAAAAGGATTTTTAAAAGGAAAATCACTAGCGCCAAAATGGAGAAAATCTGCTGACAAATCACTGTCGCAGCCTTCATGCAGCCACTCCAATACGATTTACGAAGTCCAGCTGCAAAAGACAATAGTATTACGCATGCAGCCTCAGCATGAAGCAACCTTGACGCAGCTATTACAATGCGATCTGCGGAGACTGAGTTGCAAAACACAATAGAACTACGCGCAACTGGGTCGGAAATTGCAGGTCCAAAACCGGATCTCGACGCCAAAGCGAAAAAAAGACGATTTTGAAGCACTTTTTAAAAGGATTTTTTAAAGGAAAATTACTAGCGCCAAAATGGAGAAAATCTGCTGACAAATCACTGTCGCAGCCTTCATGCAGCCACTCCAATACGATTTACGAAGTCCAGCTGCAAAAAACAATAGTATTACGCATGCAGCCGCGGCACCAAGCAACCTTGACGCAGCCATTACAATGCGATCTGCAAAGACTGAGTTGCGAAACACAATAGACCTACGCGCAACTGGGTCGGAAATTGCAGCTCCAAAACCGGATCTCGACGCCAAAGCGAAAAAAAGACGATTTTGAAGCACTTTTTAAAAGGATTTTAAAAAGGAAAATTACTAGCGCCAAAATGGAGAAAATCTGCTGACAAATCACTGTCGCAGCCTTCATGCAGCCACTCCAATACGATTTACGAAGTCCAGCTGCAAAAGACAATACTAGTACTAGTGCAGCCACAGCACGAAGCAACCTTGACGCAGCCATTTACACTGCGGGAACGATCCTACAGTTGCAAAGCACAATGGAATTCCATCGGCAACTCATCCACCAGCAACACTTGCAATCCCATTTGCATTGAGGGAACGATCCTACAGTTGCAAAGCACAATGGAATTCCATCGGCAACTCATCCACCAGCACCACTTGCAATCCCATTTACATTGCGGGAACGATCCTAGAGTTGCAAATCACAATGAAATTCCATCGGCAACTCATCCACCAGCACCACTTGCAATCCCATTTACATTGCGGGAACGATCCTAGAGTTGCAAATCACAATGGAATTCCATCGGCAACTCATCCACCAGCACCACTTGCAACCCCATTTACAATGCGGGAACGATCCTACAGTTGCAAATCACAATGGAATTCTGTCGACCACACGTGCACGAAAAACAGTTGAAACCCCATTTACAATGCGGAACCGATCCGACCATGATCCGCCCATGATCCGCCCATGATCCGACCATGATCCGACCACACACGAGACCGTCTCGCACCCGTCGCACCGCAGAGGTAGATCATCGAGGTTCGGGGACGGACTTTGTATGGAAAAACATAGGGTTTCCTGCATCTGCTATCTCTCAAAAACGCATTTCGTGCGAGACTTCCTTCAAAACTCCATCGGCAACTCATTCACCAGCACCACTTGCAATCCCATTTACAGTGAGGGAACGATCCTAGAGTTGCAAATCACAATGGAATTCCATCGGCAACTCATCCACCAGCACCACTTGCAACCCCATTTACAATGCGGGAACGATCCGACAGTTGCAAATCACAATGGAATTCTGTCGACCACACATGCACGAAAAACAGTTGACACCCCATTTACAATGCGGAACCGATCCGACCATGATCCGCCCATGATCCGAACATGATCCGAGCATGATCCAACCACACACGAGACCGTCTCGCACCCGTCGCACAGCAGAGGTAGATCATCGAGGTTCGGGGACGCACTTTGTATGGAAAAACATAGGGTTTCGTGCATCTGCTATCTCTCAAAAACGCATTTCGTGCGAGACTTCCTTCCAAACTCCATCGGCAACTCCTCCACCAGCACCACTTGCAATGCCATTTACAGTGAGGGAACGATCCTAGAGTTGCAAATCACAATGCAATTCCATCAGCAACTCATCCACCAGCCCCACTTGCATCCCATTTACAATGCGGGAACGATCCGACAGTTGCAAATCACAATGGAATTCTGTCGACCACACATGCACGAAAAACAGTTGACACCCCATTTACAATGCGGAACCGATCCGACCATGATCCGCCCATGATCCGAACATGATCCGAGCATGATCCGACCACACACGAGACCGTCTCGCACCCGTCGCACCGCAGAGGTAGATCATCGAGGTTCGGGGACACACTTTGTATGGAAAAACATAGGGTTTCGTGCATCTGCTATCTCTCAAAAACGCATTTCGTGCGAGACTTCCTTCAAAACTCCATCGGCAACTCATCCACCAGCACCACTTGCAATCCCATTTGCAGTGAAGGAACGATCCTAGAGTTGCAAATCACAATGCAATTCCATCAGCAACTCATCCACCAGCACCACTTGCATCCCATTTACAATGCGGGAACGATCCGACAGTTGCAAATCACAATGGAATTCTGTCGACCACACATGCACGAAAAACAGTTGACACCCCATTTACAATGCGGAACCGATCCGAGAATGATCCGCCCATGATCCGAACATGATCCGAGCATGATCCGACCACACACGAGACCGTCTCGCACCCGTCGCACCGCAAAGGTAGATCATCGACGTTCGGGGACGGACTTTGTATGGAAAAACATAGGGTTTCGTGCATCTGCTATCTCTCAAAAACGCATTTCGTGCGAGACTTCCTCCAAAACTCCATCGGCAACTCCTCCACCAGCACCACTTGCAATCCCATTTACATTGCGGGAACGATCCTACAGTTGCAAATCACAATGCCCTGACTAACTCTTTCCCTCACTCACTCTTTCTTTGACTAACTCTTTCCCTCACCAACTCTTTCCCTCACTAACTCTTTCTTTGACTACCTCTTTCTTTAACTAACTGTTTCTTTGACTAACTGTTTCTTTGACTAACTGTTTCTTTGACTAACTATTTCTTTGACTAACTCTTTCTTTGACTAACTCTTTCTTTGACTAACTGTTTCTTTGACTAACTCTTTCTTTGACTAACTCTTTCTTTGACTAACTGTTTCTTTGACTAACTCTTTCTTTGACTAACTCTTTCTTTGACTAACTCTTTCTTTGACGACTAACTCTTTCTTTGACTAACTCTTTTCTTTGACTAACTGACTAACTCTTTCTTTAACTAACTGACTAACTGTTGCTTTGACTGACTCTGACTAACTCTTTCTTTGACTTACTAACTGTTTCTTTGACTAACTCTTTCTTTGACTAACTCTTTCTAACTCTGACTAACTGTTTCTTTCTAACTCTTTCTTTGACTAACTCTTTCTTTGACTAACTCTTTCCCTTAACTGACTAACTCTTTCTTTGACTTTCTTTAACTAACTCTTTCTTTGACTAACTCTTTCCCTGACTAACTCTTTCTTTGACGAACTCTTTCTTTGACGAACTGTTTCTTTGACTAACTCTTTGACTAACTCTTTCCCTGACTAACTCTTTCTTTGACTAACTCTTTCTTTGACTAACTCTTTCTTCTGACTAACTCTTTCTTTGACTAACTGTTTCTTTGACTAACTCTTTCCCTGACTAACTGTTTCTTTGACTAACTCTTTCTTTGACTAACTCTTTCCCTGACTAACTGTTTCTTTGACTAACTCTTTCTTTGACTAACTCTTTCTTTGACTAACTCTTTCTTTGACTAACTGTTTCTTTGACTAACTGTTTCTTTGACTAACTCTTTCCCTGACATTCTAAAAGTCCGTAACACGGAAGTTTCTCCCCCTAAACTTCCTTTGATCAGTATATATCTACGTATATCTACGTATATCTACGTAAAGTGTATGTATAGCACCCGTAATATATACATATAGTATACGTATAGTATACGTATAATATACGTATAGTATATAGTATGGGTTTGTATAGTATGTACGTGCGTGTATACATATATACATATAGCATGACCGGGCACATCTGTTTTGTAGGTGTTCAGCTCTCCAGCTTTGAGATGTTTATAGTTTGAAACCATGAAGAATGCTTCAATCGGAGAGTCATCATGGGAAGTTCTAGTGAAAAAGGGTATGATTCTTTCATGCCACCATCTGTGACCCATGCCTTGGCAAGTCAGAAGATGCAGAATCAAACGTGCAGTATATTTGTGAAATCACTCTATTTCGAGGATTATATAAAATCAAGCGAATCCCCATGTTGATGTTTCATGGTGAAATCACCATTTTAAATCACCACTTTTGATGGTTGAGTCACCACATTACCATGGCAGTCTGTGTCGCCCGAACGCAGGTCACATCATCGATGGTCACGGAGGACTCAGCAATGTTGGTCGCCAAAATCACCTCCGAAAGGTGAATTCTATGGCTTATTGGGGGATCTAACTACAGCTAATGGGGTTTATAAACCAACAAACATCACTTTCTATGGTTAATCGGGGGATATAATAACATGATATAACTACAGCATACTACAGCTAATGGGGTGAAACTAAGCCAACTTATTTTAAAAAAACGGGGGCTCACCTTGTAACTATGGTTAAGTGGGGCATATGATGGATACCCTCTGGGAATTTCACATAGCTATGGAAAAGCACCGTTTTCTATAGACAAATTATCTATGCATAAAATTGCCACAGCTGTGTTAATTACACGAGGGTATATCTATAGTTAGATGCTTGAAACTAAGCCAACTTGCGACACGCGCCATGAGCCACTGCATTTTCAGACACCCAATATATGTATATATATATACACTATACACAAAAAAAAAAGCCCTGTTTCGAGATTTATGATCCTGAAAGTGAGAGAAATCTCCTGAAATCTGCAGGTTTTTTTTAAAAAACGACTGCAGATCTATGGGGTTCCCAAAATGACTAGATCCTAAGCCCAGACTTTCAGCGTAACCCATGGTTTCCTCTAGCGATCTGAAAATTCGATGTCCGGCAGTTCATTGCACCGGGTTTTCTCCTCAATATCCGACCATATCTGGTTGGTGGTTGGGCCACCCCTCTGAAAAATATAAGTGCGTCGGTTGGGATGATTATTGCCAAGATATGGAAAAATAAAAAATGTTCCAAACCACCAATCAGATATATTTAATCTTTGGGAAAACAGGATGTTCGCACATGCCCTTTGGAATGGTGGAAATCTCCCGTCGTCATTGAATACGTTCCCTTCAACCAATTCAATGAAGCAATGATGGAAAGTGATAAAAACAGCAAACCCTGGCGTTGATTACCTTCCCTAATTTTCATGGTTAAATCATTCTGATGTGGTTTAAATCCCCAAAAACAGTCATCCCCAAAAGGATAGGAAAAGATAGTCATCCCATTAAAATATCTTTACTTGTCCTATCTTTTTGGGGATGACTATAAATATCATCCATCTTTACTTATTCATCAATTTAGACAATAGAGATCTGTTACTTGCAATCTCCATCTTTTCGGGGTGTTACCTTAAAAAAATCACTTGGCGATGTCCACCATAAACCCCCTGCGATTTCTGCCTTGGCCATTCCCTCCGGTGCAGGCTGAAAAGCTTCCATTTGGGCTTCCTTTGGCACCTAACGACGGTTTCTTCCCCGGGGCTTCCGATGTTCAAAATCCCATTGGTATTCTATGCTGCAATGGCTATTGGGCCCCCAATGTATGGAGGGTTCCTGTAGAGTTTTCTGTTCAACCAATTTTGGGAATGGTGCCAAAAGTTTTCGTTTTCCGGAACCAAAAAAGTCTATGCCTATGGTTGAAACTATCAACCTACAAAGATACAGGTACAGATTCACTCATTTTTTGTGAATGGCTTCATGATCATCCCTCCATTTCACCAGCCGTGCTGCACCTGTGAGTGAAGCATAATCACCTTGCACCGACTTAGCATCGTGTCGGCTTGTAGGAGTTTGCTGAGGCTGCTCATCATAGCCCAAGTCGGTAGAAAGACTAAGACCTTGGTTTTTGTGAAGGGATGGGCTCCAAGACTTGGGGATCCTTAGCTAAGTTGGCAAACATAACTCCAATAATTGTTGACTTGAACACTCAGATATCAAACTAGTCAATGGGGGCTATGAAACAATCAACAGAACTGGCCAACACAGTGGGATTTGGCTGTATAATTTTCAGACAAACCAAAGGGAACTGACATGAACTGACTATTCAACCCTAGAGTTCGTGCCAAGAGGTGTTCATGACTCATAATTTCTAATGATGCTGCGGCATAGACATGGCAGTTTCCCAACATCAATTGCTCTCCTTTCAGCAATCGCACTTGAGTCTTGGGCTGAGCCAGTCTCATGAGACACTGTCCCTTCAGAGACCAAAGTCTTCAACAAGTCCTTCGGTGACAGGGAGAAACTGGCGCGCCATCACTTATGTACCTAGCTGGCGCCTAACCAAGTTGTTCAAGCTCCTGGACCTAAAAAAATAGTCAGCGAAGGCCAGCTAAGGGGCCCATTATCTCCCAATTCTGAATGCCACCCCTCTTCAAAATCAGTTGTGCCCTCCGATGCTGTCCCGCGCAAGCTCCAAGGGGATGTGCTGCTCTGGCATCAACTGTAGCGCCTCCGATTTAAGGAGAATGGCAAGCAATGCGGGAGGTCCCAAAACTGAGGATATAACCCACAATATATAGATATATCTAGATATATCAACAATATAACTATATTCCCAACTATAATTGGGATATGATCGAATATACTTGGGGATATAACTAACATAACTAACAATATGGTAATTATCTCTTATCTAGATATATTGGATATATAGAAACCCCCAGAAATAGATAGAAAAGCTGGAAACCTTGCAGTTCTGGGGTCACTATCTGTGACGTCCTGGAGCAGTTTGCCATTTTTGGGGGGAACCTTATGAATGGATACAAACCACAAAGAAGTTGAGGTCAGCCATCAAATTTTGCCTGAATCAGCAAAAAAATCAGAATAAAACCGTCTGTATCATATTGAAGAATGACAGCCATCTTGAATATTTCCATCAATTTTCTTGAGGCATTTCATTACCTCAATCCTTCAAAATCAGGACCATCATGGACTTGGTGTGTCCCAGCGTGACTTGGTAAAGGCAGCCACGGTGGGTACCTTGACCGTGTTGGGCGAATACTCCTGGGGATTGCAAGAGTTCATGGCACCCGCCGGCTCCTGGTACATCTGCATGGGCTGGCGGCAGAAATGGTCCATAGACGGAAGGGCATTTAGACAGGAAAATCATCGAACTAAATGGGAGAGATTCCCCTTGCCATGGTTCATTACCGGAGTGTTTGTCTGGAAAATCCATCCAACTGGTGAAATGTGTGGAGGTGTCCTTTGCCATGATTCATGCCCGAAGGGTACTATAATATTGATCCCAAACCTAGATTTGAGGCCACTTTGGATGGTTCTCTCAATGTTCTGGCTATCATTCATGGTGAGGCGGAGTCAGGTTGCTATAAACTGTGTCTTTGGTAGCAAAAGTGTCATCCAGCACCGCTGTTCATCCAGTCCTTCTCTTTCTTCCTTGGCAGAAATGTTTCATGGACTCATGGTGCGTGCGTGCAGAAAGTGGAGATGTCATTGGGGTTCAACCAAAAGTAGGGAAAGAGAAATGTTCAATGGAGATGCAAAGTCACGCGTTCCATTGTCATCCCACCGCTACGCGGTGTGAATGCACATTTGGGATGAGCATGTGTGTGAATAACAGTGAGAAATGTGTTTGCTTTTGATATCATTGGGAATACCCATAGAAAAATCATCTTTGACCCAGTGTTGTGAGCCCGTTGCGACCCATTCTCCAACTTTGGGACATGACATACCCAAACCGCAGACGGAAAGGGGGACCCACCAACAAACTGGGAATGCTGCCTCTATGCTCAGTTCCCAAATTTCTCAGCATCTTGTGAAAAGGTGAGAAATTTACTCAAAAACTTCCACATCTTGACGATGCCCATTGGCCCAATTTTTGTTTGTTTCCCGTGATGTTCTCTGGGCTCCAGACTGAGGTGGCGGTGTCCACCTTAACTTTCAGGAAGGGAGGTCAGGTTCGGGAAAAAATGGGGATTTCACCAACAAAAATTAGGGGAATTTAACCAAAAAATTGGGATTTAACATGATTTAACCAACAAATTGATAGTTGATTTATGATTGTTTCCAGTTGGTTTATGAAAACTAGGCCAGCTATTGGATTTAGGGTGTAGATCTACAGTTGGATGGGGCTGTAATCCGATTTATGTGGGATTTTCCACACGAATTTATAACTGGGCCCCAAAATCGTGTAGTGGTTGATTATCTATCGGCTTGTTGGGAGTGGTTGGTACAAGTAGTGGTTGAAAATTTAGCCAATCAACTGCAGACTATAGTGCGGATACTCTCCTCCCCGGAAAACGGTGGTTCTCGTATAGGGCCCCAAAATTAGTACAGCACCAGGGTTTCGATTGGGGGGTGTTTAGTATTAGGAGGAGGGATTATTGGTTCTTATCATTGGGCAAACATCGGGCTGGTATGTTGATTGATGTTGATATAACAATGATAATGATGCTTTGTGATCAATCTACTAACATTACTAATGCTTTATGTTAAAATACCATGTGTTGAATGCTTATTTGCCTAAACCACTATCAAGGAGTGCGTTGTTGTCCAATATCATGGTGGGTTCATCAACAAAATCTGGATCCGTAACTGTGGCTGGTAATTAGTAGTTGAGATGATCAGGTCAATATTTGGACATCCCATGGTTTTTTGCATGCATCATCCCGGAAAATACCACGTAAAGTTTCATCTAAGATACTGAGACCTAGGCGCTGGATATGCTGTATTTGAGGAATTCACCCGAAAGAAATATACGGAATGGCTCATTTGAGGTGGTTTGGGGATTAACCTCCGGTAATTTGACAGTTTGCTATGGAAGCCATGGCCCATATATTTCGATGAATTACCTACGACAAATGCAATTTACCAGAGAGTTACTTCCAGTTAATCTCCCCAGGCATCTCCCATTAAAAAACCACCATGCTTGAAGATGCTTTGGGATTCTTTCCTCATGCCATACATAAACCACCCTCTGAGGATGATCGATTCTAAATCTCAGTGCTGCACTTCATCTTCTCCACGATATCCTCTAGAAAGAGGCATCTCACCTGAGAGGGCGTCCGAAAAGGTGACGGGATGTAGATGTGCTCAAATGCAGAACATGCGCGATGATACAGTGTGTATATAGCATGCATGTGTATATATATATAATTATATCTGTATATATATATTTATACATATACACATAGTCTATGAAAGATGTCGTACAAAATGTTATATATATATAGTATATAGAGCCATAGATGCAAATGTAGACCTAGATTAAGATATAGACAATATTAAGATATAGACCAGGACATTGAGATATAATCAAGGATAATGAATTCCTAGGTTTGAGAATCAGAACGCCTTTAAAGCAAACCAGGGACATGAAATGACTTGCCAATGCGACATGAGGGGAGATGGCAAGCTCATCAGCATTTCAAGTCAGGAGGAGGATGCACTTGTGTTTGTGTTTCACTGGCAGAGAAACAGAGATAACAGAGCGATCGAAAATCGTCCGGAATTATGTTGATGATGTATGATGTAACGTGCCTCCAGTCAGAGATGCATCATGGCCATGCTGTTTACAGGAGGATAATTATTGGTATGTCGCAAATTTTGGTACCAAACCCCATAGTCTATCATCAGTTTCCCCATCAAAATTGTTATTTTGGGGTATCCCACACTGTACGGGACAAAGCCATTTAAAATTAGAGGGGTCCTCCAAAAACTAGAAGAATTTTTCCAGCACGTCATAGATATATAATGAATATATATATATATATACATATGTATATTAATGATAGAATATGTTCCCCCATGATTTCCAGGTTCCCAACTTTTCTATCCACTATTATCTATTTGGGTGGTGATAGAATGACAATTAGACATCCAAAAAAGCTCTTCGCTCAATGCGGCAACATGCTGAACTGGGATCCTTACATCATAGCTGTGACCCTGAACAGCAATCACCTCAGCTTATGCTGGCAGGCTGTGATTTCTTGGAATCAGGCCTCGCCCTCGAAGAAACACCCCTCGAAACCAGTGTTGATCTTCTATGGTGCTGGATCCAGAAAAATGCCCAAATCCAAAGCGAGATTTCCTCACCACGTTGATGAGATCCCCAGATTTTCGACCAATCCACATCGAGGAAATTGTGAAATTTGCACAATGTAAAAAATCTACTGGGAAATGAATATAAATCCATATAAATCCTTAAATCCCCCCCTTTTTTTGCCTTTTTTTGCCTTTTTGCAGGGGAAATCTCAATTCGATCCCATGAAATCCCCCCGTTTTCGCTGGAGGCCCCAGGCCGGAGGTATAGGTGCATGCTCCGACCTGGCAGGTTTTCACAGCCTCAATGGTGAAAAATCTTCATCATGAATTTTGCTTCATGTTCAATAGTTATATGTTAACCAAAAATTCGTGGTTTTTAATTGGATCTTCTCATATATGTCATATATATATATATACATAGTTTTCCATCGTTTTTCCATGCTAGTTTTCTCGTTGCCAGCGTTGTTTGACTCGACCCCGTTGCGGGGAGCCTCTCTCGCAGAAATGCTTGGAACTTGCGCGCATCGATCGTAGCCTCAATGCCATGAAACAAAGACAGGGATCCACTGGAAAATCCAAATGTGTCAAATGAAGAGTGGTGGAAAAGGTTCATATCATTTCGAAGATTTTCACAGTATATGATTCATCTATATTCATCTGAGTTTCGAACTTCTATGTCATATATTGTCACATCATGTCACATCTATGTTCGTAGGGGCTGGATGCTGGGCCTCAACTCGCACCCTACCAACAGGCGAATCATCGCCCCGAGAACAGCCATCGTGACTTGCTAGATAACCTTGAAGACACCCCAAGCTGGGCGTCTGCGCGACCTTTTGCCGAAGTCTCAGCGCGTAGCAAAGTATGGCTAAAGGCCTACAAAATGCAAAAGGACATGAGCCCAAATGTTACGGGCAGCACCTGATCATCATGTGTCATCCTTGCCAACACTGCCAATTCTCAGCTGATCTTCTTCTTTCTTGGCAAGAGATCCGAATATGCTGATCAGGATGCATGCCACACCGCCAAAAAGTGCCTGCTTGTTCTGCAAGCTTTGAAATTCGACGCCATCCTCCAAGATGCGCCAATCAGACCTGCCATCCTTCAGATCAAAACGTGCATATGTGGAACGCAAAGGAAAATCTTCTGCCTTGAATCTGGCAGTCGGAATCCGAAACGACTTTGCGCTCTTCGCCACATGGATCACTAGAGTGTCGCGCAAATGCCATCCAGGACTACCACTAAGCTGAGCTAAAAAGGGAAAAACAGGATGGGAACTATTCAAAGGTTCACCTACCAACTCTACTGAATTTCCAGCTACAGCATCACGCGGTTTGGACTTCTTTACAGACTGCTTCACAAAGTCCTGATTGAATTCCACACTCCAGGTTCCACTTTGCAAGATCCTGTGCATGTGTTCCACGTCCATCTCCTTGGTACCCGCATCCACAAACATGTTCTCAGTCGAAGTCCAACGGAGACAGGTGTTCGGTCTGGCGAACACAGAACGCATCCATGCAATGGTGAATGCCAAACTCTTTTGAGATCCATAGGTCGGAGTATCCGAACATCCCTTGTCGTGGACGTCCTTCGCATCGGTCACCTGCATAAGCGGCACTGCATCCATGACTCCATCAGCGTAGCGCCCTTCCATCGGATAGCCCAGCATCATTGCTAGCAATCCACGAGCGAATTGCCCATTGTCAAGCCCTTCTTCAGCACCAAGAAGCTCGGCGCCAAAAGTGGATCTGCAAACCCTGGGGATTCGGTGAGAGCGAGCGTCTAGCACTCCGAAATTTCCCTCCTTTCCAGCCACCAGGTTGCGGTCAGCCACAAGGATGAAGTAGGCGCTCTGCGAATAGACACGCTCCAGCAAGGAACCCTCAGCGCAGCCAGATTTGGTCACATTGCCCAAGGGTGCATCGGTGACGGCCAGGATGCCAGCACCATCCAAGTCCAGGGGTTTAAACACTAGTTCAAACTTGGGATGTTGTTTAAACTTCTTCAACAATTGGTTTGCCTTCATGAGTGTCTGAACTTTCGGTTTCTCCCCTTGCAAACTGGATAGAACAAACCCTTGGTCGAACCTCAGCTGTGCCACAAGCCACTGCAGAGAGCCAAGAACTGCTCGCAGCTGTCGACGCTCACCATCGGTCAGCTCAGCATCGGGAGTAGCACGCCGATGAGCAGGAACAATCGTAGGCTTGAGGTTCTGGTGGTACTCTTCCATCGAAATGGTGATGGTGCCATCCTCAAGCTGACGAATGCGCTTGCCACAATAGACAAAATCGTCATACTCAATGGATCCAAAACCCAAGGATTTGCCCAAAGACAACAGCGACTCTTGAGCTCGTTGGTCACCTCCAAGCAAGAGGTCATCAACGTGGGCCAGCAAAATTCCATGAAGAGTTTTGCGGTCCTCAGACCAAAGCATCCAACAAGCATGGTCAAGGCTACTGCGCTCCCATCCCATAGCAGTGACCTCCTTGTGCAACCTCAGATACCACAACCTCGGTGCATCAGACAGGCCAAAAACGCCTTTGCGAATGCGAGCAAGGCAATGTCTTGGAAAAGGCAGCAGCGGTTCACCATGTGCGCCAGACATGTTCTGCATATAGAGTTCTCTGGATCCTTCTGCAAATGGATCCCCTTTCATAAAGGCGCTTTTCACATCAGCCGAAAGCAACCGCCAAGCCTTCTTTGCCTTCTTGTAACTAGCTGTCATGATGAGGAGCATGTGTTGGCTGATTCTAGAAGCTGTTGGAGCGTCCTTTCGAATAGAAAAAGAAAGAACATCACGAAAGCCAGGCACCACAATGCGCGCTCGAGCTTTCAACTCCAAAGGATTGTCAGCTGTTCGCAGCGGCTCATGCTTGTCTGTAAAGACATAGCGTGGAGTGAGCACCTTGAAGTCCACTTCTTTGTCCTCCTTGAGTCGCTGGCGAATGCGAGCTGATTGTTTTTCATCCAAAACTTCCACAGCTTCATTGTCGGCCCAAACAGACCAGGCCTGCTCAGCAGCTTCACGAAACTTCACCTTCTGCTCATCATTCATGCTCTTCCAATGGTATTCTTTGCGAGCAGCTTGAACGGCACAGGCTTCATGGCTATCTTCAACATCATCGCTCCCAGTCGGCCACGAAAGTCCAAGGCCGCTGCGAGTCTCCCACTCCGATCTGGAGGGTAAGTGCCATCTGCCATGCCAAGAACCATGATCATTCACGCGGCTTTCCAAAGGGCGCATGCGATCCAGGCAAGCCCCATGGTAGATGTGGACCAACGGGTGCACAGAAGGGTCACCCAGAGAGGCAAAGATATCCTCCTTTGACACCACCAAAGCATCAGCCGTTTGACTTGGTTCTTCAACAGGGGGAGCTTGCTCAAAAGCGCTCGCCTGTGAGTCTCTGAACTCACTAGAGTCCAATTCAGCTGCTCTCTTGGTTCCAACTGCATCCAACCGCTGGGCCCGCTCGATGACTGAAGTCAAGGGTAGTCGACGAGGGGTCTTGGAAGTCGAAGCGGCAGATGCAGCCACAGCCAAGGAAGGTGTCGCCACGTCACTCATTCGACGTGATCCAGGTTCACCTACACTGCTATCTAATCCACTCTGAGTCAAGGCACCAACAAGCTCTTGCGGTTGAACTGGTGGAAGATCCTGCCCCAAATCCAAGTCCACAGCAGGAGTCGCAGGTGCATGGGATGTTGGTAGGAAAGCAGGTGTAGGTGGATTACCAACCTCAGGAGCAGTGGGTTCTTGTGGAACATCATCATCAGCTCGTTCAGCATCATGAAGAGCTGCAGCAACTGCTTCATCAATGGCATCTTTCCAAGAACCTGCCGCAATCTGCTCCATGGTGCTTGCAACGCGCACATGCTCAAGTGCGCACTTGGTCAATTGCCCCTTGTAGGACAAAAATGCTGAAGCATGTCCTTCCAATGCCACCAAAAGAGCAGGACCATGCCATCGCTTGAGAGTCAAGCGCTTTTTGCTCGCTGAGGCCGTGTTGTTGAACCTCAACGGACGATAAAAGTAGCATATTGTTCCAGGAGTTGGGACTGATTCCATTGTCGAACTTCTGGAACGTGCCAACTCAGCCTTGCGAAGTCCACGGCTGAAATGCAAACGGCACATCGCTACTTTTGCTGTTTCTCGCATCGCTAGCTGTCTGGCTAACGAGGGCTTGGAAGTCAAAAGCCCATGCTCAGCCAGTCTGTTCTGGATGCCCCCAAGAACATCTCCAATCATTCGTGGCTGTCTTCCAATTGCAGCCTGAAAAGGGGAGGCTCCAGACTCTCCAACATCTGCATTGCAAGCATAGACTGCTTCAACAAGCGCTAACTCCATTTCATGAAATCCCACAACACTCTGCGATGCGATCACTGCAGACAGGACAGCCTTGAGAACTCCACCTGACTTCTCGGCTAAACCATTTTGCCACGGCGCCTGGACTGCAATGTGGTGCAACATCGTCGAAACAGACGAAGCCCATTCTTCCATTTGCCAACTCACAAATTCGCGGCCTTGGTCACAGACTAGAACTCGAGGAGCTCCAAAAGTTGGGAGCCATCTCGTAGCCAAAAAGTGGATCACACTCTTCGTTGACTTGTCTTCCATGACCTGGGCCGCTTGGAAACGAGTTGCAGAGTCCGTGGCATGAACAACATAGAAACGCTTCTCCTTCTTGTCTTCAATCTCAATCAAGTCAATGTGCACTTGATCTCCCATATCTTTTGGTGTTGGCAGCGTAGCTGGTCGACGTGCCTTTGGAGGAGCACGCTCAGCACAAATGGCACATTGGTGCCGCTTCGCCGCCACGATGGCTTCTGTCGGTGCCCCAGCAATGGCTAGGGCTCGGGCTAACCGCAAATTGCTTCTATGCCCGGTGTTCTCATGGAACCTTTTCACAGCCAGTTTCACGGACTGTGGAATGTGGACCTTGGCATCATCCTCAGTCTGCTCATCGACGTCGGACATGTCATCGTCATCTTTGATGGCAAAGGCACCACCATGATTTTCAAAGTCGACGTCCTCATCGCCCTCCGCCTCACCCACCAGAACTTCACCAGAGCCACCAAAGTCCATATCAAACTGCTTTTCAACACCTTCCACCATAGTCCTAGCCAAGGCCAAGGGGTAGATGCCGGCTCGAGCAGTGATCCGACTGCCACCAATCACTGGGTCATGAGAATGGTTGCGCATGCAACGGATCCCATCCAACAACTTGATGACTGCCGGGCTTGAACTTGCAACCCTAGTGGCTTTCCGATGTGGTAAGCCAAACAAGCTCTTCAGACCAAATCGACATTGATCGAAAACAGCGGTGTCTATCTGATGCTCTTCAAGGAACTTCTGCATGTCAAGCTCCTTCCACGCTCCACTTGGTAAAGGATTCTCCAAAATGAAATGCCGCCCGCCTCGAACTTGAATTTCTGCCAGCTCCAAGGCAAACTTCATCAATTGACGACCTTTTTCAAGACGATCGCCCAAGGTGGCCTTGCCTGCCGAATTCAAGTGCTGGAGCGGGCTGAATGGTCCGCAAGGAAACGCCAGCACAAGACAGAACGGCTTCTCTTCCATGATTTTCTGCTTGGCACGTCTTCGATGGTCAGAGCGAGTAAAGTCCCACCCCGGTTTCCAACGACATGGGTGTTCCAACTTTGTGCCCACGGCGAACAGCTTCTTTCATAACATTTTGGGAATTGGTGTACACCTCAGAGACAAGGGGGACCTCATTCTGTTTAACCTTGACATTCTTTGAAACCAAGTCATTCGCAAGAGTTTCATGCGGCTCAGGAACAAAGGACACGGCTTGGAAAAAGGTCTCGTCAGTCATGAAGCCACGCATTTCATTGTCAAACTGAACCTCCAGGGTCTCACGTAGTTGTTGCTGCCCAAGAGAAACCTTCAACCGGTCAGCTTCATGACGTTTCCAAGCCTCGGCAATGAGCTGAGCTTGATTCTTCTTCAAAGTCTGCACAATCTTGTACTCGTCAGCCTCTAAGGATCTACCACACTCTCCACCTGTTCTTCCGTCAAATCCACCAGTTCCGCCTCGTCGTACTGGGCCGCCAGGCGGGCTGCATAAAGTTCTGCATAGGCCTCGGAGTTCAGCTCTCGGATCTCCTCGTCCGTGAGCTCGGGAATCAGCTCTGCATCCTGGTCCACCTCCATCTGGCCCTGTGTCTGGCTGCCCTTCTTTGCATCTTGACGAAGTGCCACCAGCTCGCGAGAAAGCCCTTCCATCATCACGCCCAACTGGCGCTGTTGTTCTGCCAGAAGAGTCAGTGGTCGATCGCTGGAACTCATTGACAAAGAGCTCACATGCCTGGGATTCGTTTTCGGCCGGGCACCATGACTCTTGTCCTTCATGGGCGAGGCCTTGACTGTGGGAGCAGGCTGCTCCTTCAGCAATGCGACCATTGGTTTGACCTTCTCCTTGAGCTGGGGAACTGTCGCCTTCTCGTCGACCTCCACGTGCAAAAGAGCTGCCAAACGAAGCAAATCGCTTCTCAGAGAAGGCAGGCCGCCCTTGGGGCCTATCAGGGTTCTCGCCTCTTGCTCTCGAACTCCTTTCTCGTCGGCACGTTGAGCTTCTGCCAAGGCTTCCTTCTGCGCTTGTTTTCTCAACTTTGAACTCAAACCCTTGACTGCTCGGCCAGCAAGCATGCCCTCCAACTTGGGGCCCTCGATGAAGGAAAGTTGAATGCCCAAACGATTCCGAAGGTGACAGCACTCGCCCAGGTTGGCCATGGTGAACTTGTTGGCCAAGTCCGCTTTCTGCAAGTGACTCTTGGGGACAATTCCACCCAAAACCTGGTCTTTGGCCTGTTCCTTCCACTGCTGAACCGAAGTGACTGAGGGATAAGGCAAGGGCAAAAAGCGCAGGAATCGCTTTTGCACGAGCCAAAGCAGAATGCCTTTTGCCGCCCACATGCTTCTTTCTCGCAGGCGCAGCACCATGCGACGCCATGGTTGGTTCTGGGACGGAATCTCCATGAGAGACTTGGGTGCTCAAACACGACCTGGTAGAAGAGGATGTTGTCGATGTTGAAGTCGGCTTCAATGAAGCAGACGACATTGATGCTTGAGCCAGAACCAATCGGCCAGCATGCAAGCTATGCTCCGTAAGAAGATGGTCATGCGCTGTCTGTGCATTGCAGGTCCGACCACCAAAACGCTTGCGAAGCCACTCACTTGCCGACAACTGCAACTCCAAAACACCATCAACTCCCAAACGCTTCCAACGCTTCTGAGAAACCACACCTGGCCAGCATGATGGCAGGAGATGCAAAAGGTAGTGACCTGCGGTGAGTTGACGCAGGGCTATGGGGACCATGTTCAAGCTTTCACACTTCAAAGTTCTTCTGGAAAAACTCATGTCGGCACCAACTGCTTCCAGGAAGTCACGACCAAGCAGCAACCCCAGGGAAGGTACAGGTACAACAGAAGTCCAAAAACAAATGAGTGTCCCACCAACCACTGCAGGTAGCCGCCATCTTTCAACGCTGACTTGGGCGCCGCCGTTTCCAAAACGAAATGTTTCACGTTCAGGACGGGAAATCACCAAATCTTGAATTTCTTGGGGGGCTTGTTTCAGGCCATCCAAAAAGCCACTAAGCCACTCAGGTCCTGTGCAAGTGCGATTGCAGGCAGAGTCAAGAGCGCCCACCAATCGCTTGTCACATGCCAGCTTTGCAGAGACCAGTGCATTCACCTCCTTGGCCACTGCAGCATCATCCAAGGCACGCATCAAGGAGTCAGAAATAGCAGGTCTCGTGGTGCATGCGACAGCCAAGACCTCATTTGCAGGCGGGATTGTCGCCTCGGCCTCAGCAACGTGTTCTGTATTCAACGATTCAACCAGCTTCACCTGCTTGACCTTCTTTGGTGATGGCTTACGGCCTAGTCCCTGGCCAGGCTTCTGACACTCAGGGTCTCCAGCCCAGTGCCCCTGGAGGCCGCAATCGAAACATGGGTGTTTGCCCGACTGCTTTTTCGCCAGGGTGCCCTTCTTGTCGCCCCCATCTGTCTTGTTGTATCCACGGTCTCGTTTCACTTCTTGAAGACGCGTTTTGGCCTCCCTCATGGTGAGAAGGGCTTCAGCTGCTGTCTCAACTGAGCTCTCTATCTCCTGCAACATCACCTCATCTACACCTTCTTCAGCAGCAGCATCTAACTCAGCAGCCAGAGCTTCAGCTTCAGTCTGCATCAGCTCTTCAAGCGACTGAGGATCTTGTCCATCGTCCACATGCTCCTCATCCCCATCCACATCATCTTCAACCTCAGAAACCATGGCCTGACGAGGAGGAGGAAAAGGACGTCGGCTGCTGAATCTGCTAGAAGTAGAAGAGGCACTTGACTTAAAAGACCTTGGTGCAGTGCTCGCCATTGAGGGAGCATAGGAAGAAGCTCTGCTCGGATTGGACTGCTGGCTGAGGAACTTCTGCAACAATGGCGGTCGGCCATCTCCAAACTGCTTTCTCGCCAAAGGGTCTTGGCTATGAAGATCCTTGAACAACCTGAGAATCTCGCGCTCGATGACCTCATAGTCTTCGGATCCTCCCAAAGCCGTGTCCAAGAGCTGGGTCCTCAAAGGGTCAAGTCCCAGCTTCGAACGTAGGAACCAGCCAAGCTCTGAAGAAAGCAATGACACGCCCTCGGACTTCAAATCGGCAACCATGGTTCTGAACCTCGTACAGAACTCAGAGATCCTTTCCCCAGGCCGCCTTTTGAGCTCCAAGTAGAACTGTCCTCTAAGTTCCCCTCGTTTATCGAGGGTTGTCTTGCCATTCATCTCTTCCAGCGCCTTCATCAGCTTCTTGATGCCATGCAACGGATCAGCTGGGGTAAGAATCACATCTTCACCAGTCTCAGGATCCTTGCACACTATCTCAGGCTGGTATACCAGTTCCTCAGGCAGAAATTCTTCTCCTCTAGCACGAACCATGCCTGTTTGGCGAAGCAGCCATCTCGCCGCCAGGTTATACTTCTTGGTGCTTTCCAAATCCAAGCTCGATGTCCACCAGGCCATTTCTCTTCTAAATGACCTCCATGTCTGAGGAGAGCCCTCCCAAATTGGGACCTTGCTCCAAGCTCCATGGCCCTCATCCTTGTCTGTCATGACGGGCTCTTCAAACACGTAGTGAAACCAAAGAAAAAGAAGATGCAATTGATCTGGAAAAGAAAATGGAGCACCCTCAAAAGGATTGAGATCGCGATGTCAAATGCAATAGCGATGTGATACACAAAGAAAAAGAGGTGCCAAATGATGTGATACACAATGATGTAGTGAAACAACCAAAAAATCAAATTCCCAGTGGATTCCAATCAGCCCCTCGCCTAGCACCAATGAATCGCGTGACCAAAGAATGCAAAGCAAGTGCCAAAGGGCTCAGCCACCTCGGATGTGGAACCTGTCCTGAATCGAAACCCCCTCAATCACAAGGATCACCGAGGTCAAACTCAGGAGCGAGGTAGGTGTCCACCGTGCACAGCAAAGGACCAAAGAAGCGCAAAGCGGAGATGCAAGTGCTCGATGCCCAAAGTCCTCAGGATAGGTAGGCTCCGGTGCCACTGAAGACACCCCAAGCTGGGCGTCTGCGCGACCTTTTGCCGAAGTCTCAGCGCGTAGCAAAGTATGGCTAAAGGCCTACAAAATGCAAAAGGACATGAGCCCAAATGTTACGGGCAGCACCTGATCATCATGTGTCATCCTTGCCAACACTGCCAGTTCTCAAACCTAGATAGGCACACCCTTGAAAAAAAAAGAACGACTGTTTCCAGTGGTAAAATCATAATTCAATATAATTCAAACACATCCAAACCCGGTTCTCAGGGATTCCATGCTAGATCTCCAGGGTGGTATGTGGGTTTCCTGAAGTGTTGTGACGCCTACATCACCTACATGGCGTTCTGGGCGCGGCACGGACATCAGAACCACCTGCCAGAAGGCAGTGGAAACCATGGATTTTTACATCTAACACTGGGGGTTGATTGAAATTTTGCCTTGAACCCAGTCTGAATCAGACAGTCTAGAGGTTTTGAATGGTTTTAAGGCCTCGATGATATGAGGTTCCGGTCTTGAGGGCAATTCACCTGATTTGACTTCCATCAGCCCGTCTCAAGGGCTTCTTACCTCTGTTCTTGGGGGGTGGTATTGCGGGTTTGGGACATTCTTTGAGCCCCATGAATGAAAATCAAGTCTCCTGGTCCCAAACCATAACTGTTCTTAAATAGTTATATAATTATTACCTTAATTTAAAAAAAAAAACGCACACAACTGTTATTTTCACCGGGAAAAGAGAGAGACTCAGAAACACACCGTGTTCATCAACGTCCCCCTTTAAAACACCACCTTGAGCTCAGGGTGCACCACCAGCGCAGATCTCAAAAGTCCCAGCAGCACGTCCTGGAAAAACGTCATGGGATGATGAATTGGAGATTGGGATTTGATGGAATTTAGTCCGCAACAACCCTGGCTTGATGGGATCTAATGGGATTTAATGGGATCTAATGGGATTTAATGGGATTTATGGTGGTTTAATGGGATCTAATGGGATTTAGCCTCTGGTAAACAAACAGTTTGCTATTGAAAATGGCAATTTATAGTGGATTTACCCATTAAAAATGGTGATTTTCCATAGTTACGTTAGTTTACCAGAGGGTATGGTTCTTCCCTACAAATCCTACAAGGGATTTCCACTTCACCAAAAATTCACCGGGAATTTGGCCAAAATCATCATCCACTGGGCTCCAGACATTGTCCAAATCACGCTCGTGCACCTGAAAACTGTGAAAACTCTGCTGCCATGATCTTTGATTTGTCACAAAATCTGCCACATCTACAGTACAAGTGGTGCCTTTGAGGTCAAGTGGTGCCTTTGCAACATGCAGGAATTCTATTTTGGCCAGGTGTTTATAAGCCGATCAATGGCGGCCGTGAAGTCCGTCAATCGCATGTTGCTTCATTGAACCCATCCGAACCCATCCATAACAATCCTACGACACTGTCTTGGAACTTGGAAATTCAGAAAATACCGACAAAACCCCCAAGAATTTTAGTATGATTCTGCTAAAATCGCCATCTTTTTAAAGGGGGTTCTTGTCGAAGGAAGTTTAGAAGTCAAACTTCCGACAATATGGACAGATGAAAGCAGAGCAGGGCAGAGGCAGAGAGAAGAGGAAGATTAGAAGAGAGAAGATCAGAAGAGAAAGAGTAAGAGGACAGAAGACACAGATGCGCGAAAAGGTAGGAAAGTCGCGAAACACTGTGTTTTTCCAATGATCTGTGGCTCCGGAGGGTCGAAAAGTAGGCTCGCTAAAGCGGCGGGTGCGAAGCCAGCTGGCCAGATGAGAGATGAAAATTTGCACGCCGTTGTGGCGCGAAGCACATTTTGAAGTCAAAATGTACAAAACACACCATGGTCGGACCACTTTTGGAAGTTGCGATGTCGAAAAAGTGCACGCCGTTGTGGCGCGAAGCACTTTTTGAAGTCAAAATGTACAAAACACACCAGGTCCGGACCACTTTTGGCAGTTGAGATGTTGAAAAAGTGCACGCCGTTGTGGCGCGAAGCACATTTCCAAGTCAAAAGGTTAAAAACACTAGGGGTTCGGACCACTTTTGGAAGTTGAGATGTCAAAAAAGTGCACGCCGTTGTGGCGTGAAGCACATTTCGAAGTCAAAAGTGTTAAAAACTGGCGGTCTCGGACCACTTTTGGAGGTTCAGATGTCGAAAAAGTGTCGAAAAAGTGCACGCCGTTGTGGCGCGAAGCACATTTCGAAGTCAAACGTGTAAAAAACTGAGGGTTTTGAGCCTTTTTTGACGTGAAGATGTCGAAAAAGTAGACACTGATTAACTTAACTAACTTGACTAACTTAAGTAACTTCACTAACGTAACTACCCTAACTTCGACGACAACAGCAACAGCAACAGCAACAGCAACAGCAACAGCAACAACAACAACAACAACGACAACAACGACAACAACGACAACAACGACAACAACGACAACAACGACAACGACAACGACAACGACAACGACAACGACAACACCAACCACAACAACTACAACTACAACAACAATAGATCGATAGATGGAGAGATAGATAGATAGATAGATAGATTAATTAGATTAATTAGATAGATAGATAGATAGATAGATAGATACATCGATAGATGCATAGATCGATACATGGAGAGCTAGATAGATACATAGAGAGATAGATAGATAGACGGAGAGATAGAGAGAGAGATAGATAGATAGATAGGGTCATCAAATGAAAGAGAGAGAGGGAGAGATAGATAGCTAGATAGAGAGATAGATAGATACATAGAAAATAGATAGGTAGGTAGATAGTCAGAGAAAGAGAGAGAGAAAGAGTGAGAGAGATCAAGCACCTTTCAATCCAGCAGTGGCTTCGCTCTGCCATCCCTGATTCACAACAACCAACCTCTCCTATAGGTTTCTTATTTTTGAAACTTCCGCCACCGCCTTGTGCGGTACTACTGGTACATAAAAATAAAAATAAAACACTCATCAAACCTCACCGGCTCAGTTTTCCATCGCACCGGCCTCATCCACGATGACGTGGGAAATGCCACAGAGACCCCTCTGATGAAGTCGCTTCAAAAGGAGACCTGACCTCAGAAACTGCACTGATGGGCCATAACATTGGTAGATTTCGAAGATCAAGCTGGCCAAACCTGATGTCATGTGCAGCTGAGAAAAAGAAACATACCAAAAACATGGCAAAAACCATGTTTCCTCAATTCCCAAAAAAAAGATGCAGAACAGGTTCGATTCACCATTATTGTCGAACAGAATTCATCAGAATTCTACATGTCTGCATCTTTTGAGGGTTGCAAAAAATTGGCTTGTCCAAAAACACGGTACCCCTAAATCCACTAGGTATACCGTATAATTACTACAGTATCCCCACAAAAATTGACCATTTGGGGGGCACAACCCCCGGTTTCGGGCAACTCCAAAATATCATATCAAGTTGGTTAGGAACAAATTAAATATCCCCATAAAATACGGTGGATGGAAGAAATCTTGCACCAGTTGATAGATGGTTTATCCCATTATTTATAGGGTTTCAACCATCCAAGGGGGTGCAGGATATCTTCCATCCACGTTGCTTATGAGTCCTTATAACCCCCCATAACTTTGCTGCTTAACGTCCCTGGATGTTTTCCTGGGTTTTCCCAGCGTCATGTAGCAAATGCCCCCCGGTCGCTGGGGCCAGACCTGGGCATAAAGAGGATGTTTCGCGGCAAAAAATGGAGTTAAGATGATTTAAGATGATTGAGAAACATTTAAGGTGAGAATTGTAATAAGTGGGAATTTCCCATTTAAGACTTAAGATGATTAAGAACTGATATAAGACGGTTTATAAGAAAGGAAAATAAGGGAATTGCTGCAAACAGATGGATCCAAGATGATGTAATTGAGTGTTTTGAAGGGATTTAGGTAACTTAACCTATCTAAAGATATTGATATGATCAATAGTGATGGGGAAAAATCAGTGATCTAGTCCCTTGATTTGATGCGCCAGCACTTTCGATCTCCCGTTTGGAGAATGCGTCGCTTGGGGTTTTTGGGTGAAACGGCTGCCCCGGCGCTCAGTCGGTTTCAGGTCTCATGTACGGAGCATGAGGCAAAGCATTGCTCAGATCCTGAGATTTTTTTTCATTCGAAGCATCTGATAGGGTACTTTCTGGAATACCCTCTCGTGATCCACAGTTTGCTATGGAAAGCCATCATCAAAACATATCAAAACACGAAAAGGTAGATCTGTCTCATGGCCTTGGAGTTTCATCCGCTAAGTTGATACAATGAAGAGTAGATTAGATTCCCCAGAAATCTGGACACAGCATGACACAGCCACAAAAACAGTCCCAGAAACATAGCTCCATATTCAACCATAAATCAAGAGTTAAGTGATTTAAATCTTTAGTTTCTATTCATTTCAAGCAGTCCTTAAAGATTTAAGATCTCATAAGATATTCCCATGGATCCAGATGG